CCTTAAATTAGCCTTACATTGATCCAACATCGGGTCGACTTGTCTGTTCGGGACCATTTTGATGGGTTTCTTCCACACTCCACTGTCGTATATCAAATGATAGTGGGTGACTTAATTGACAGTGACAATGAGCTTCGAATGAGGAAGGGGCTCTTCAAATGATGGGCACGAGATTTTTTTTCACCGAATCGATTTAATAGTTGTATTGGTTCATTTTCAATCGAACGCTACCGTTATAGAGAAAATACACTGTCGGAGAAACAAAGAGAGAGAGAAAGTGATTTAACACCGTTGGAGCGGCAGCTCTCCAACACAAGAAAAATTATTTATGCTGCACAATTTAAAATGCTCTTTCACGTCTCTTTGGAAATGAAAGTGCAGTCTCACGACAGCGTGCGTTTTACTCGGAAAAAATTGAGTAGCACCCGATCCCTGTCCATGACCACTTACGCTTGGCGTTTTTAGTGTAGGTGACAGCATGACGGACCTCATTTTCCAGGAACACCTTCAGCACACCTCGTAGATCAGACCGGAGATACGTTTGACACCACCACGGCGAGCCAGACGACCTATGGCGGTTATCTTGAAGAACTTTGCGATGACGCTTGGTGCCTCCTTTACCAGACCTTTTCCTCCTTTGCCACGACCAGTCAATTGTTGCTTGTTAGGTGTGAAGAAGTGGACTAGCCACCACCTTCCTACTGTTGCTATTGCTGTTCACCACGCCGTCCGAAGCGAAAACAAGGATGCCAGATGATTTTTTCAAAAATCTGTATGAGTGTCAAAAAATATGTCTGTATTTGTCTGTATTCTAGAAAAATCACCGCATTGCAGATTTCGTATTTCCCACATGTATTTTGGCTATAAAATTGCTCGCCACATACTAAACTAAATAAATAAGCATTTTTAAACTTAAAAAAGTCCGTTTTAGCGTTTTTTTTAATTTTTATTCTTAGTGCAAAAAAAAAAAAAATACGAAGCCAAAACTTAAAAAGCATTTTGCTGTTTAAAATCACGAGATTAAAAATTCCAAAAACCTTAAGCAAAGCTCCTTCATAGGGTTCTCCAAGATAGCGCTAATTTCTTTCATCTTCTCGGCATCAAGTCCACATTCGAATTAGTATAATTTAAGTATACTCTGAGAGCTGGAAGTCTTTCTAGCATCCGTTTCACCACCTGCTCTAATGACAACCAGTGTGTGGCAGCCGGGTGGAGCATTTTCAATGGTTTCAAGTCCATAATTGCTTGAAGCTGTTCAAATTTCGAAAATAATTTTGTTTATTTTATGTTAAATTTCAGGAACCAACTGGTAAAAATCTGTATTAAGTTTCAAATATCTGTATAATGTCTGTAGTCCTTATTGGGTCTGTACGAACCATCAAATATCTGTATAAATACAGACATATCTGTATATTTGGCACCGCTGAGCGAAAATGAGCTAATGCCATACAGCAGCGCTCTTTTATATCTTTTCAGGTTAAAGCAGAATGATGTGCAACCAAGTGGTATAAAAGCTACAAAGACTCCTCCCATTATGAGTAGTTTGCTATCAAGTAGTGACACTGGCTCTTTCCTTTTGCGTACACGGCGAATGAGAACGACCCAAATTTGAGTTTAGTTCACTCATAATCGCCAAAAGTACAGGAGCTCAGCGATGAGTAAATTTGTCTCATGGTTTCCTGTCCAAAACCTTATAAAATCTGCCAGAAAATGAGGAAATTGACTAAAATTTTATTCAGCCTCGGAGTAGTACCAATAGACTGAGTGAATCCAATCTTTACTTTTCTCAAATTCGGGAATTTTTCCCTGGCAAATCCTGGAAAAACCTGGGAAAACATGAGGCAAATTTACACATCGCTGAGCTCCTGCACTTTATTTCTTATTTCTGAGATAACTAAACTCAAATTTGGGTCGATCTCATTCGCCGTGATATCACCTGCAGGCCTGGGTCCAATATCAGTCGGCGCCACCGGCATGTTCTAAGGCATAACATCTCTGATCACGCCTTCCTTCGGGAAGTAAAGCCGTTAGTTCCCGGTTGAGTTGATGGGTCGATTGGTAGGGTCCAGGTGTGGGAGCTCCCTCCCTGGCGTCGGTACACACTAAAAAAAATCTGAATTTTACTGGTGATGTAAACATCCATGCATGCAAACATTCATGCATGTAAACTTCCTTTTCACGTAAACTAGCAGCTTGCAAGAAATGTTGCAAACAAAGGTGGAAAGTTGCATACAATATATGGAATATTGCATGACATGTCTCATAAATTAACACGATTTATAATGTAAATTTATATGATTTATGACGCTCCATTTATGTGCATCATAGTAACGGAAATTTACACTACTTTTTTTTAGCTGTGTAGCATTGGAGCTCAGTACGGAATATAAATCTCGCGTCACTTTTCAATAGGTCCTATCTACATTGATCGATTCTCTTCATCGACACTCTCTTTCGTAAATAACTCGGCTTCACAAATGTTTCCTGCCGTCTTCGTCGAATTAGATGCTAGATTGTTGCTTCTTCCATCGAAACTATTCGGCCGTGGCGATTCAAAGTTGATCAAGGTTGATCAAAATAATTTGTACCCCTGCTTCCAGATTGATTACATGAGCATTTTGTGTGGTCGTTGGTTCTGAATATGGACAAACAGGCAGATGAATTCTATTCCTACTCTTTACTGTAATAAGCTTGGTAGCCCTGAAAAGTGCCGTTTTGTTGCCAAAATAGGTGATGATTTAACCTCCGGAACCAAACAGAGTGCGTCTCTGTCACTTCAAAACGTAGATGACATCCATGGCCGCTTACGCTTGGCGTGTTTAGTGTAGGTGACAGCATCACGGATCTCATTTTTCAGGAACACCTTCAGCACACCTCGTAAATCATCTCGAAGAATTTGCGTTTGATTCTGAATATGGCGATGAGTGTGCAACATACTACGCAATTCCATTCTCCCTATTTGCACGCGCCCGAGTATCGGAGGCGAATGCCACTTCGACTTGTGTCGTCTACTAACTACTCTCTGACGACTGTGCTGGGGAAGCAGCATATGCATGTAGGTAATTGGCGGATTTGTTAGTTAATTTGACGCATTTAGACAATGCTGAACATTTACCAGTTTTTCAATAGTTTCTTGTTGAAAATCAACATTCGTTATCTATGCGTAGCCATATTTCTGATCGATTGGTGATAAAATTATTGAAATTGGACCAGGGGCAGCTGAGTTATTAACGTTCAAAATCTTTCCTAATTTGTTACATGTTCCATTTTCGGTTTTCACAAAGTGTACCCCCCCAAAATCTGGAAATTTACGTGGTTTGTCTGTGTATCTGGCAAGATGACTGAAAAACTGAAAAATCCAGATAAATCTGGAATACTGGCAACGCTGCTTGCAGCCATTGAGCGAAGACATTGCGGAAAATACTGATTCGTATGTACAGGTGATCATTTCACAAGAAATATATTTTTAAAAGTCAATACACAATTACATAGCTCTTAAGCTTAAGCTCATTGACCGGATCGAGATTCAAACCCTCCGCCTTCGAGCGTGACAATGTGAATGCCGTCGATTTACTACACATCATATCTTCTTTTCTCACTCAAGTTTAGGATACCACTAAGCTCCCCCCATGATCTACGGGAATAACCCTTCTTATTACTTATTGCTACACATTCCATTGAAATGGATACTGTATGATAGCGACCATCAACCCATCGACGTCATCATTTATTACTGCCCTAATTAATAAAATCAGCAAGTGTTAATACCGATCATAAATTATATTCTCGCTGATCGCCGTTGCTCCCGAATCCATTAGAATAATTCAAACCGCTAAACGGGTTACATCTACGAAAGTGCGCTAATAAAATAATGAAAATAAATTAAAACAACATCATTCACCATATCGAAACGCAACAACCTGTTACCAACTCAAAGGGAAAAAAATGGGGAAAACTTTTTTCAAGCTATCTCATCCCGTGGATGGCACCTCACTGAACGTAGCTGCTATTACAGAACCGGGAATGGTTTCGAAAATTTATTCCAATTATGTCTCGGAGCTCGGAAAGCGAGTTCTGTTTCGCTGGAGATAGAAGTGAAAGAACGAAAAACAGAGGTGGAATTGGACAAATTAATTGCTTTTGCCTTTAATTAGTCGAGTCAGATCCTAGTTTCTGCGTTTTTATACAGGGGCTTCTCCATAGTAACGATTTGCAAGCAATTTAGTGGATTTTTTGAGTTATAATAAACTAGAGTCTAACTCATTCAGGCTGATTGGTCTTTTGATTGAAACATTATCTCGTTCTCAAAAATGTGCAACTGCCACGGTCTTTGCAAATAAGTTCTTCATTTGACAGGACCGTGGCAGTTGCAATTTCAAATATTCTCAAGACTGGATTTATAACATTAAAACATCATTATTCTGCTTATTACCACTCAAAAATAGCTTCCCATTGTTCAGTATAAAAGACATCATCTTTAAAGACAAATGCAAAAAAAAAAAATGTAGGAAAACGCAAAAATCGTATCCCCTGCTGATTGATTGAATCCCTAGAGAAACAGCGACAACAGAAAAAGGAAGGCAAAAAACCTATTTAGTTTTTGAAAAATGACTCAATCCAACTCACTGCTTCTATTCTTAAAGAGAAAACTGACACGCTTGACATAAATTGATCTGATTTTTGGAATATTTTATGATGATTAGGGTGATCTCCGTCCATGTCATTTATTTACGCTTCTTTTTTATAGGGGACGTGCACCAGTATTGGCCATAGGTTCCTATTTTGGCCACACCTCAGAAAACCGATTGAATTACAATATTCGTGCATTTTGTGGTCTCAATGTTTATGTACACCGATGAATATGATTTGTACCAACAAACTGAACGCAACAGAACATCTCAAAATTGTAAACAACGTGAAATATGGTCAAAAGGTGGCCAAAATAGGAACATGGCCAATACTGGAGCGTTTCCCCTAGTATAGAAAAATCATCGCTATCGAGTGTGCTTATGTGAAAGCATTTATTTATTTTAATTAGGAATATCAATCATTGTACTATTCCTGTCCGGGCCATACCACCGATTCAATCCAATCAAGGAAGTGGGAAACACGATTGAATACCTCGACGTTCACTGTGCAATCGTCGATGTGCACCGTTGGTAGACCAACCACATAAACGGTGCTTCCCAGTGTCATCAACAACGGTCCGGACGAGCGAGGATCGCAGAATCGGGTAAGAGAAGCATTATGAGAATCTCGAACGCACAGCTGAGAATCAAGGAGACCTTTGGTCAGCTCCGGAGTCGGTCGCTTCATTTTGGCTAGCTCTGCGTTGCACTCCTTCCGGGTGGTGAACGGTAGATCCAACCAACGGAAGGATGGATTTTGCTCCGGTTGAAATTCGAACCATTCTCCGAGCACGGCATTTGGATTTTTGAAATACTTGTCTGGGTACAGACATGCCACGTGGCTACGGCCGGTGGCATCCCGATCGTATCTACTGATATGACGATGATCAGATTGAGCATGTAAGGGAAAGTTTTTGATTTTGAATACTCACACAGAATTTCGCAGCTTGACCACGGCTACATTGTAGTAGGCAGGCTCCTCTTCAAATTTTGGATGGAGGAATACCTTGCTGACGTAGCGGCGTCCATGCTCGTAGAAAAACACCTCTTCGCGTTCGATCATGGCAAACATGTGGTTCGAAGGATGTTCCTCATTGTGTTGCATCATTTTTATACACAGAGCAGAAGTTAGCAGCGAATCTTGGCTGACGAAAACGGCCGCGCAAAAGTACGGTTCTTCCGTAGAGAAGATTTTCAGCTGAATTAAAAAGTTTGAACCGATAATCAGGTGATTTGGAAAAATTCGTCATCAGAAATTTGAACTTACCGGATATATGAAGTTGAACGAGTTACATTCTGTGAAAAAAAAGATCGTTACATCGATTGTAAGATTTGGACTCACGTACAATTACACTTACTTTTAACAGCCAATCGTTTCCTAGTGGGATGATCATTGTTGAAGAGTTGGAGGGCGTGATATCTAACTGGATCAACGGTTGTAATATTAACCGAATTGAACGATTGACTTACTTCACAAATCGCGCTTCCAGCGAAAAAGGCACCCAACAATACCAGACCAACAATATTGGTCATTTTGAAGCTTTTGATGATCTAATGGTATGTAATCAGGTCATCAACTAATCGCAGCTAGAGAGCAACTGATCCGTCTGCCAACTCGACACTCGATTAACGTGCAGCCGTTGTGCCGTTCATTGACCGGTGATAAGGGTGTAAATTTGTAAACATCGATTACAATCTGTTTGCAACAATTTAATGAATCGTCCCGTAGAGTGCACGTACGGAAAAAAGGCTCGTATGCATTAAGACATTTGAAGAAAATCGAGGAACATAAAACAAATCATAACTGAGAAGTTAAGTATAGGCATTATCGTAAATTGATGTGATACTTCTATATTTCCACTATTCGCATAATATCTACGTAAACAGACCGAATAGCAAAACAAGATATTGAATTTTCGGCTCGACCTTCTTCGATTAGCTTTAAACTTTGCAATTGTTTTCGTTATGAGCTTCATTCACATTTTTGCTTAAAATCTGCAATTGATTCAATGCAAAAAATAAATAAACTTGCGTACTCAATATTTTTAAATAAATCATAGCACGAAAATATCACTTCTAATCGAAATGTTGTACAATAAGAAGTTGTAGGAAAACTTACTTTCTTTCTAGGAAAAATATACACGGTAAAAAAAATTAATTACTTTCAAGTATTAGTAAAAACAGTGGTTAGAACTTAAGAAACATAAATTATTCTTTTCAATAATTTTTGAATGTACATCGCTTATTTTTTTCTATTTATTAATGCTCATTTGCGTAAGCTTTACGGAGGCGATATTTCATTGTAAAAACCTTGTTTAAAAATGTTAACTTTTGAGCAACTCCCTACGAATTCGCAAATCAGTTTTTTTTTGCTTTTTTGTGATTTGGTTGAAAATTTGTAGAAACGTTCCTTATGAAAAGGGCCTATAGAAAAATATCAAGCTTATCTTTAGAATTTTTTGCTTAAAAACTGTTTGCCCGATTGGTTTGGTGTCTTGGGCAATATTGCAGATAATGGATGAGACTAATTGAAAAAAAAATATGCACTCCAAAAAAAATACTCAACTTTTTAAATTTCAAATTAATTTTGCTCAAAAAAATGATGGACAAAAAAGTTGAGATTTTAAAAAAACAATTACTTTTTCGACTTTATATGATGAAAGTACACCAAATTTACAATAAAAAAGCCCTTAATTAATTTTTTTTCTAAATCGGATATTTTTAAAATGTTGGTAGTTTTTAGGCATTTTTAAATGTTTTTCGTGGTTCTCCAGTTCGGATAATTTTTTTTTCGGAAAGATCACAAAATTTCAAAATAAAAATTCTCTTGGTGGCTCATCAATATATTAAATGACTTCTAAATATAAAAATAAAACAATGCACCTCATGCACCTCACAGGTATAAACTTGTTGCTAAAATGCTAAAATTCTACCTATTGCTAAGCAATTCATGATACCAAGTGGGTTGGGTTTTAATTTCCTACGTCCATATATAAGCCAAATCTGACACGTAATCTAAATTAGAATATAATTCGCTGAGTATCTGTGAAAGTGACCTGCTTAAGTTCAGTAATTCAGAAGACGAAGTGGTAGTTAAAATGCATACTTTTCATTATAAGTGCATAAACATGTTTAAAAAAAGTTGCTCGAAAAATTTCTGAAATCTCACGGACACTAATGTACAGAAGTTGGTTGATCTGGGTTTTGCGGAACAGAACCAACTTAGCAGTAAATTAAAAAATTGTGTTTTTTGTCGAATACAGCTTTCTAAACGTACTGAACTATCAAGTAGCGACGAGTAATCGAACTAATAATGAAAAGAAAATTGTTGATATTACTAAAAATTAAAGTACTGATTTCAATTACAACTATATCAATCTAGCAATGCAAAAATAAATTGAATCATTCTCGAAAAATCGCAATTATAAGTTCTTTGCATATGCTAACGAGCGAAATATGTATTTGCATGAAAATAAATTGTTTTAAAACGTACACCTTCCGGATAATTAAGATCATATCGATGAGCCACCAAGAGCATTAACTTTGTAAATTTTTTTGATCTTTCGGATAAAAAATATTTTCGGAGCTGGAGAACTGCAAAATACATTTAAAAATGGCCAAAAACTACCAACATATTAAAAATATCAACTTTCAACCCGCTACATCTCGAAAACGGTGTGACTTGACAAAATTTTACTTGAGTGCTTTTTAATTGTAAATTTGGTGTACTTTTATTGTTCAAACTCAAAACAGTAATTGAACCAAGTTTTGTGTTTTTTTCCAAAAACTCCTTTTTTGTCCGTTATTTCTCTATCTTGACTTATAGTGCAATAGATGGCATTTTTTGTGCCTTAAAAAATATCAACAAATAAAAAAGAACAAAAAATCTTTTTTAGAGAAAATTTGTTTGAAATTAAAAAAAGTTGGGTATTTTTTAGAGTGCATATTTTTTTTCAAATAGTCTCATCTATTACCTGCAACATTGCCCGAGAAACCAAGCCGATCGGACAAACAGTTTTCGAGTAAAAATTTTCTGAAGATAAGCTTGACATTTTTCTATATGCCCTTTTAAAAAATAAGGCAGCATTCAAAATGGCGATATGAAGATGCAAAATGGCATTGTTAGTCATAAGGAACGTTTTCGTAAATTTTCAACCAAATAAAAAAATACAAAAATAAACCGATTTGCGACTTTGTTGGGAATTGCTCTTTGTTAGAAAACCTGTGGAAACTTCACCTTTCAAATGATAGCTAAGAGTTAAAAATTTGAAAAATAAATCTTTTGGAAAAACTGGCGTGAAATTTGAAGTAACTTAAAATAAACATTATTAAAAAATATATATTTTCCCAGATAGGAATAGTTTTTCTCTACAACTTTGTCTCAGAAATGCCGTTTCCGTGCTATTATTTCTTGAAAGATTGAAGCATGACTTTGTACACATTTTACAAAATTCAAAGTGGCCGAATTTTACCAAAAATGTGAATCATTGCACATAGCAAACAATTGCGCAAAGTTTCATGCAAACATTCAATTTTGATTTGCTATTTTGCCTGGAACTGCTCAAAAGAGCATTTGTTTATCATAATTTTGTTTCTGCACTGTCATCCAAACTTTGTTAAAGCTGTTTTTAAATAATTTCGTTCGTTATTAAAGCCAGCAAAAATGTGTTATGAACAGGCCTGTCATGGTGGGTACTCATCGTTCTAGACTGGGCGTTGACATCTTGATCTACATGCGCTTCTTTCTCTTATGAATGCTGTGTACCAAATCCGGAAATTTTCGGACGCCCATCCAGTACTGAACGCTCATATGATTAAAATTCTGCTGCAAACAAAGCTAACATAAAATGGATTCAATCAGCATTTAAAGGTGGTAAAACATCATAAATTCCTAAACATATGTTTAAAAATATTTCACCTACTAATGTGCTATGAACAATGTTTGGCGCTCATTAGAAATAAAATTGGTTGCGCTCACAAACAGTTTTGTTTTTTATAAAACAGCAAAAAAGGTAATCTTCATTTAATTTTACTAAATTAATTTTGGTAACCCCCTTAAGTATTAATCCCCTAGGTTAAAATGACTAGTTTGTGCAGAATCGGAACCTACCTAACTAATAACCAATGATTTAAGTAAAGTTAAGAGTTGTACAGATTTTTCTCCTTGACTTTACTTAAATATTTGGATATTAGTTATGTAGGTTCCAATTCTGCACGTTGAAATTTCATTTTAAAGACTGGAACGCGCAAAAATTGGTCGAGAAAAAATCGTTTCTTTCAGTCAAAATTCATATCCCAAAAATCTTCTTATTTTTCTTTTGGTAGTTCAATTCATATATTTAAAGGAAAAAATGTTTATTCATTTATTCATTTGGTTGGCCAAATCCGAACTGCCGTGCCTTCCGCTTAACCCCTTCTATTAAATTTTGCACAGTCATCGACCTTATTCGCCGCCGAACGCCAGTTAGATTTAAACTGCTGTTCGTTTCCATGGATTTATTAGTTTTTTTTTAGATTCCGTTTGACCAAGGCCCAATACCGTTCGATAGGGTGGAGTTCTGGGCTGTTAGGAGCGTTGTGGTCTTTGGGTACCACAATCACGTTGTTCGTATCGTACCACTCGATTGCCTTTTTTCCATAGTGGCAGCTCGCCAAGTCCGGCCAGAACAGCACAGGTCTATTATGTTGCTTTAAGAATGGTAGCAGCCGCTTTTTCAGGCACTCCTGGACGTAGATCTCTTGATTGATGGTTCCCGTAGTAATGAAAATGCAGCTTTTTAGAACACACGTGCATATGGTCTACCAGACAAGATATTTCGCTTCGATAGTTCCCTTTTTTTTTTCAACGGCGCCGGTGGTGTAGTGGTAAGCGTGATTACCTCTCACCCCAGCAGGCCTGGGTTCAATCCCAGTCGGCGCCGCCGGGATGTTCTGAGGCATAACATCTCTGATCACGCCTTCCTTCGGATGGGAAGTAAAGCCGTTGGTCCCCGGTTCATGAGTTGATGGGTCGATAGGTAGGAGCTGCCTCCCTGGCGTCGGTAGCATTGGTGCTCAGCACGGAAAACAAGATCGACGGAAAAAACAAACCAAAGGAAAAAAAAAAAAAAACGTTCCCTTTTTATTGAAGCGGTATAAAACTCCTGTCCCGGAAGCTGCTTAAATTTTTCCTTCACATATGTTTCGTGTGAAAACGTCGGATTGCCTTGCTGCACGAGCAAAATTTTGACACGCTGCTCCTCTTGTTTGGACGTCATTTTGAAAACTGAAGAGCAAACGGTGAAAACTCATCATAGCAACCATTGTATATACACTCAACTTCCAAATGCAGCATTTCAGGTTTTTTTAAATGCATTTTTAACAGAAATACACCAATTTGAAGTTGACCAATTTTTGCGCGTTCCAGAATTTAATACCTGTGATCTTGAAATTTTTAACCTAGGGAATGAGTACTTAAGGGGGTTAGATTTAGACTTTGACACTGATTACACAGTGTAGTCGAAATACGTATATGTTAAGGACACCAGAATTATGTAAGTGGAATTAAATGAAAGATAATTATTCCGCT